ATTGTCGGATCTCTACTTTACCTTACTGCAAGCCGTCCGGATATCTCATATGCAGTAGGTGTTTGTGCCAGATTCCAGTCAAAGCCAAAGGAAAGTCATCTGATAGCAGCTAAAAGGATTCTTAGATACCTCAAAGGAACTCAGAACATGGGTTTGTGGTATGCTAAGAGCAATTCATTTGAGTTAGTGGGATACTCAGATTCTGACTTTGCCGGATGCAAAGTTGACCGGAAAAGTACATCTGGTACTTGTCAATTCATTGGTGGAAATCTTGTTTCTTGGTTCAGTAAGAAACAAAACTACATTTCTACATCAACAGCAGAAGCAGAGTACATTGCAGCTGGTAGTTGTTGTGCTCAAGTTTTGTGGCTAAAGCAACAACTACTGGATTATGGAGTCAAGACAAAGGAAGTGACAATCTTTTGTGACAATCAAAGTGCCATAGCCATCTCTCAAAACCCAGTGCATCATTCTCGCACTAAGCACATTGATGTCAAGCATCACTTCATCAGAGATCATGTGGAAAAGAAAGATATCAAAATTGAGTACATCTCAACTGAAGAACAACTGGCGGATATCTTCACTAAACCACTAAGTGAAGCCAAGTTTTCCGATTTGCTTCACAAAATTGGTCTAATTCAATTAGACTGAGTGTGGTGCACGTGGTTTTCACTTCTGAAGCACAAGGTGCTTTGGAAGCAGCAGCTGAAGATTTCCAAACACTTCCGGAAACCTCACATGTTTCTAAAATGGTTCTAACTGAAGTTGTAGAAGAGAAGGCAACCTCACCCCCACAAGAACAGAACCAGGAAACAGCAGAAGAAGAAGAATTTCAGCCACTAATCCAATCTCAAGTTTTGGAGATTCTCACCACTCCTTGTGAGATATCCAAACCTGCTGAAATTGAGATCCCGGAAAAGTCAGCAGAAATTCCGGAACAGTCAGCTCTTCCAGAAACAATGGAGCAAGCTGTTGAAGCACAAAGGAATTCTGGAGAAGCTGAAAAGGAAACTCAAATGGCAGAACTAGAGGTCTCTCAAACTCCAGTAGCCATTTTTGAAGAAGAGAATACAGCTGAAGAAAGAGACTCCCTCTCTAGGGATATATCAAATTTTGCGCTTGAAGCAGAAGGAGAGTCTGAAAGAACACTGAAGGTCACTGATGAAGAAGATGTACAAGAAGATGCTGAATCTCTTCCTCTGCAACTCTTCCAAAGAACACCACCATCTCATCAGGTAACCAATTTTCATTTCCATAGCTCTTCCACCCCTACTCTTCCGGATGAAATACCGGAAATCTGGACAAAGAAGGTCCAAGGGCTGATTGAATCAGCCCTAGCATCTCAACATGCCTCCTTTAGGCAAGAGATAGAGCAAATGGAAGTCAGGCACACCCAGCTGATAGAGAAATCTAAAGGAAAACACAGCGCAGATCTCAAAGAAATAAGCAAATCAGTGCAGAAGACTCTGGAGATTATCTCTCTATTGAGTGAAACTGTGAGCAACACGATGGAAATATATGCCTCTGACAGTCAACTTCAACTCAAAGAGATCAACAAAGTCAGAGAGCAAATAGCGAGTGTCACAGTTAGTCTCCAAAAACAGATGTCCCTTCTCCAAATGGACATCAGATCAGCCCTAGCAGTAGCTTCTGCAAATAAGGTAGTGACCAAAGACTACTTGAAGGTGATCATTGACAATCAAAAGGAAGCATACAAGCTGTTCAGACTTATTGGCGCAAATTCTGGAAACCGCAAGATGGAGGTAATTCTCCAACAACACAGTCCATCTCCAATACCACAGCTCCCTATTGCAGTCAAAGAAGGAGAAGTATCTTATATTCCTTCTCATCTGAACTTGACAAATCTAATCCTTGAAGCACAGCAAAGAAATCCGGAAAACTCAGCACAGCTTCTATCCAGCTCAGGACTGGATGGAACAGAATTTATAGGTACCGTTGTTGACCACTTCTCAAATGATGCTCAATCAGAAGAAAGACGTGAAAATTTAAGGCGCATCAAAGAACTGTGTGGGAACATGAAGGGCATCAGTGAGGTTGTCGGATCTTCAAAGCGCAAGAGAAACTGAAGGTTCTTTTCATCAAAACAGGGGGAAAGTATGTGAGAACACTAATGTGTTTTGATGCAAACACCTTCTTGTTTAAACATTGCTTGATTGGTTTAAACATTGCAATATTGCTTCAACAATTTTTTTAATTATGCTTATTATGCTTGACTATACTTATCTCAAATATGATTCTGAGAATTTTTTTTTGAAGCGCATACATTCAGGGGGAATGTTTTTCAGGGGGAACTTAACTAGTTTTTGGCTAACAATTGTTTTTGGCAATGAATTATTGATAAGCTCTAAGCAATGGAAGACGGATATCTCAGTTTTGGTACTAAAATTGGAAATCTCTGATTCAGGTACTTTACAAAATCTGCCTTCTTAAACTAAGCTTCAGTCCCTAATTCATTTCCAACAAGCTCTAAAAGTACTGGTCCCTAGGATGTTTAAAATGTACAGGACTTTGGAAAAATAGTACCACTTTTCTTTTAAAAATAATATTCATATTTGTTTTGGTGCTACCTCGTCCTAAGTAGAAATTAGAACTATAGGGAATGAAAAATGATAGTTTTATTTTGGGCCTTGAGAACCCAATAGGAATAATTTCCCTTTAGTACGTAGCTTTCTGTTCTTTTTGGGCCACTCTTTTGGGCTTAGCCAAACTAAAACAGTTATGATTCTCAAACCAAACGAAACTGATTTTCAAATTGGAACAGTTTCAACTCATTGGTAATTGGTAAAAGATTCCTTCCACTTTTCAACTTCTTGGAAGTTGAAACTCTTTTACTCTCACCGTTCCACCTACCAAATTAATGGAACCCGTGAACCCTCTC